CTGAGGAAGCTCTAGATCAAAGCAGTCAAGAAGTAACATACATTGCTCTTCATTCCAACTCCTGCCTACATTTTGGTCAATTAGAGTGCCTCGGGCTCAAGTTGTCAAAGTTGAATGTGTCTTAGAACCTTTTAGAGGGCTTGTTAGGACACAGACTGCTGGGCTCAACCCTCAGAATATCTGATCCAGTAGATCTGGGCTGGGACCCAAGAATTTGTATTTCTAACAAGTCCCCGGGCCACGCTGAGTCTGCTGGTCCAAGGCCACACTCAGAACCACCTGCCAGTGGGGCTGAGAACCCAGTCCAGTGGTTCCCAAACTGTACTGAATTAGGTCCAGGGATTTAGCTCAGTGGTTTCACCGCCTACCTCTCAAGGGGAAGGTCCCAAGTTCGATTCCTGGTACCAAAAAACAAACAAACTGTGCTGAATTTTGGAGTCACAGCAATCTTTAAAAACAGTTATTGATGTCTAGCTCACATGCCCACATATTCTTATTTAAACTGGTATTGGGTACAACCTGGGCAGCATTGCTTTTCACATTCCTCAGGTAACCCTAACACACAGCAAATGTAGGAACCACTGACCCAGCCTCATTCCTCCTTTACTCTCCTCAATACCAGCGTCCACTTCAGCTGCCCATTACTGAAGGAATTGATCCTCAACTAGCACTGCTCATAGCACCTCTTCCCAACCTCCTCTCTCCCATGGCCAAAGAACATCTGTTGTAAAACTTCTCAAGTCACTTGCGAGACTTCTCTTTTCATCCAGTCCTTCAGCCAGACTCTGTGTCGATGACGTTTGACCTTTTGCCACAAAGAGCAGCTGATATGTTTTTTAAGTGACTTAAGTTATAACATTCAGGGCCGGGGATTTAGCTCGGTGGTTCTGGCACCTGCCTTGCAAGCACAAGGGCCCGAGTTTGATCCCCGGTACCAAAAAAAAAATAAAAAAAGTTGTAACATTCATGTGTACTTGAAGAAAGTAGGAAATACCTCAAAAAGCATAAAGAAGAAAATAACAATTACCTTTAATTTACCCAGGGGCCGGGGATTTAGTTCAGTGGTTCCGCTGCCTGCCTCCCAAGCGCAAGGTCCTGAGTTCAATCCCCGGTACCAAAAAAAACAACAACAACAACAACAACAAATTTTTAATTACCCAGGATGCACCACTGTTAAAATTTTGCTGAGATCTGTCCTTTTCTTCTATGCATATTCTTGCCTAGTTGAGAGCATGCTCTATAAGTAAGTGCATATCCTGCTTTCACACTTAACATTAAACTTAGATATATTTAATGTTATTGAAACTTTATTTAATGGCAGCAAAAAATTGTCATTTGGATACCACATCATTTATTGAACTGTTTCCATACAGGTGGGAATAGGGGAGAAGAGAGTACTTGTTTTATCATTTATATGATAACCAATATATATATATTTGTATGAATTTAGGTTCTGTCCTTTATTTCTCATGATCATGTCCAAGAAAGAAAGTAATGGATAAAACAGTATGAGAATTTTAAATTCATTCCAACTGGCCAAATTCCAAAAAAATTTTCCCCTGGTTTATATCATCAGTGTGAAGGAATGCGTGTTGCCCAGTACTTCTCTTGCCCAGTACTTGATGTTATGTTTGGTGCCACTGAGGATTTTTAGTATGGAGATGACATGATCAGATTTGCATTCATAAAACTGCATACTAGAGGATCAAACAAGTGGGCCAGATTGGAACTGGTATTATTGCCCCTGCTGTTCTCTGCTGCTTCTATATTGTCCCTCTTCCATGTTCCCTTCCTCCTTTCCTGGAGAGTATATATGGAGTGCTTGCTGTACCAAACACTACACAAGGCTTTGTCACCAAGTAATAAGAGAGGTGCTGAAAGGCTCAAATCTGTGGCTGACAAGCTTGTGCCTGGCCAGAGAGCTCTTCCTCCAGATCTGGTCCAAAAAAGTCCCTGAAAGTAATTCTCCTTAGGGAAAAAAATTTAGTATTTTCCAATGGAATTGCCAAGTAGGCTATCGCTAAGTTAATTTTGTCTCCATCCTGTGCCTGTCCACCCCGTGCCTGGAATCTCCTCCTTCCTCCCTCATCTTCTCAACCCAGCAAACTACTTCAGCCTTCATCCTTCAGCACCTTCCTTAAATATCTGTGACCTCTCCCTTCTGTACCTTGCCTGGTCAGAATCAGCCACTCAGCCTTCCTTGATCACACAGCTCTGTGATGGCATTTTCTGTGACTAATTTTGTTTCTTTCTTGTCCAAGAGGCCTTCGGGAATAGAACGTTTTGTGTCTCCAGCTCTTAACAGCGTCTGGCAATTGGTTGTTACTCAGTGGCTGTTGAGTGAATGACTGAATGAATTACTGTTTTACTAAGGTGCATAGACATTCCATCTTAGATGGACTGAAGAGTGTAAAGACAATATGGAGATGACATGAATTGCCAAAATCACGCTCAGAATCACTGGTGCCTACGGTAAAACAGACACCTGGTATACCAGATGTCCCGATCCTGGATTCTGTGTTCTAAACATTAGTTGTTATGTGTGCTTGTGCACAGACTTGCATTCTGTTCTCTTTCATTTTAACACCAGATTTAATGTTCCCCTAAGTATCTCTGTGATAGAGGAAGTAAAGGAGATTAAGCAATGCCAGAATTCCAAAAGTGTATCCCAAAGAAAATTAATACCATAAACTGTTTATAGGTACCACCCCAAACAAGATTTTTATTGTCTAGTAAGTTCGGAAAACAAAGTTAAATAGGTTTTTCTATCATAGGCATTGTAAGAAGAATAAAACCTCCGGCCAGGCAGTGGTGGAGAAGAAGAGCACTCAAGTCTTGCCTCAGTAAGAGGCAGGAGTCATCCTTGCCTCTTTCTGCCTAGGAGAAGCCAGAGTGCAAATGCAAAGGCAGAAGGGAAAACCATGTAGCAAGATCCTAGCCCCTTCCCCTCCAGTGATCTCCTCATTTCCACATCTATGCAAGCCCCTGCCCCCTCTCACCCACTCACAGTGATGAGATCAGCCTTCATTACTTCTCTCCTAGAGCCAGGAAGCAAGGTAATGTGTGGGAAGTGATAACAACTTCAGAGTTAAAGCCATTCAACAGGAAAATTTGTTAAAAAGACCAAGACATTGTAAAGCTGAAACACTTGAGTCTATTAAGTCCCCTGCTTCTCAGAACATTTTGTTACCTGGGAATGTTTCAAGCAGGGAAAACACTGAACCATGGCAGCACTGTCAGATCCCGAAGGCTGGTACAAAGAGCAACATTTTATAAGACAGCTGTCTCTGCCACTAGAGAAAACTTCTAAAAACTTCTGCCTCTGTTTTCTCCTTCTTCTCCTACCCAGCATAACTTCCCCACCCTCCTCACCCCTAAAGGCACTCTATTTATTTCCCTCCTCCCCATCCCCCCTTCCTCCTCCTCCCTTTCTTCTCTTCCTTCCCCCACTTCTTTCATACCCATAGCCCGTGTTGTTTTCACAAACACTATTAGACTAGCGCAGTAACCTAAGATTATCCAATGGTTATTCAACCCTTTGGTAAGAAGGGAACTAATTAAGTGACTAGTGGTTTAGACATTGTTTATTAGCTCCAAACTCCTTTGGAGAGCCTGGAGCATTCTTCTAGACAAATATTACCCTTTTATGGCTTCTTGTCCCAAGTCTAAAAGAGATGGAGAGCCTAAAGAGACAGTAGCTTTTCAGGGATGTGAAGAAAGGACTACTCTAGTAGGAAAATAGAGTGTCGATGGATGTAGAAGAGAAAAGCCCTGTGCCTGTCACATACAGACGAATGCAGTTTGTGTGTCTGTTGGCAGCTGTGTGCATCAGTGATCATCAGGAGTTTAAGATGTGGGCTGTTGACACAGTGTGGTCAGCCCAATGTTTTATTTAACTGTCTTCATTAGAAATACATCCATCAAGAGAATGTTTTTAAAATCACGGTTAGTCTCTTAAACAAAAGAATGAAGGCAAACTCAACTATCTCCTTACCAATCTGAACAAACACTGCTATCCTATACTGGGGGACACTTTAAGAGGACAGAAGCTATCTGTTAAATAAACAAAAGCATCAACAGGGACACGGTTTCCTAGTTTGTGGATACTAATAACACATTATTACTAGTCGCAACCGGTGAGAAAGGCACTCTTGCCCTGGGAGGCAACAGAATGGAAACTTCTAAATGCTGCTTTCAAAATTTTACTTCTGTTCGAAAGTCATAAAAGTTGCATTGTAATCCTGCCATTGCTTTCATAAGAGAATTTCGGAGAGAAATTCCAAGCCTCCTGAATTGTAACAAAACGGGCCGCTTCCAGGTTCTGAATCAGAGCAACTACCACCTCAGGAGAACACCGATCCTGGGTGACTCTGAGCCTGAGACTCCAGTTTCCTCCACCTCCTTTTCTACTGTGGGCTCAATAATCTGGTGTAAGTGAAAAAGTATTTTCCTTGGCTTGGATTAGGTACCTGGTGTCCTGGAAGAGGCCACTGATTTTCCCAAAGATGTCCCGGGAGTTTGGCTTACCTGTGGCTTACCACAGGCCAAACATGAGGTCAGTTAGCCATCAGTCGTCATCAGTGAGGCCAAGATTTGTTCAGACACTGAGAGAAGAGTGGGTAATGGCCCTCGTCAACATTCCTCACTATCCTAGTCCCAAACCTGTATCTTTCACCTTTGGTGGAATGGGTGGAAATTATTTCAGAAATAGCTGATTCATTATTTACATTACTCTTCATTTGAAGAGGCTTTGTGATATGTCAACCTAGTCACTGCATTCATATTAACATTCTGAATCAAAACTTTTTTCCACTAGAACTGTTCTTGTGAAAAGGTACATTTATTGACCTTGGGGAGATGCCGTACTCCCCAGTGTTTGGTGGGAGATGAAGGGATGCTGATAGACCTGAGTTGGCCATCTAGGGACCAAACCCTCTGGCCAGAACCAGTCTAAGGAACAGTGAGATGTGTGTGCACTGCTTTTCTGTCTCACTCTGCAGACCTCAGTGACCAGCTCCTTGAAGTGGTGGGGCTGGAGGGAGCCATGGAGATGGGGCAGATCTACACCGGCCTGAAGAGTGCAGGCAGGAGGCTGGCCCAGTGTTCCTCTGTCACCATCAGGTATGTCTCCTTGTTACCCAGCAGCTTCTGAGTCTCCCCACCGCCCTAAACATTCTTGCAGACAGTAGCTGGGAAGCAATCTTTGGATTTTATGGTAGGGAAAGTGGGGGACAGAAGCTTAGATAAGGTGTGTAAAGAGCACCTTTATAGACCATTTCCTAAGGGGATATAATACAAACGATCCCAAACATCAGCTAGAGGGCCCACCACAACCAATTTGACATTCCCTTAAAATAACCTGGTAACATTCTCTAAAAAGGAGTATAAGATTATGAAGTCCAGAGAACCAGAGATCCTATTCTGTGCCCTTTTTATCTTTACAAATTAAAATGTTAGTATGCCAGGAGGCACACTCTGATACAAACCAAGTTCCCGGCTCTACTCTGTTCTGTTGGATAACGGCCTTGGAAATGTTATTTCCTATTGACCTTTTTATACTAAACCATTAACAGCAGCAAAGCCAGGATTGATGGCACATGGCTGTAATCGCAGCGATTCTGGAGGCCGAGGCAAGAGGATCATAAGTCATATACCAGTCTGAGCAAACTAGCAAGACCCTGTCTCAAAGTAAAAAATAAAAGAGGCTGGTAGTGTAGCTCAGTAATAGAGTGCTGCCCTAGCATGCTCAAAGCCCTAGCTTCACTCCTCAATATGCCCAATCAGCAAGCCTGTACTGCTTGACTAACAGGATGACAACTTTTCAAGGTGTGGACCACACAGCCAGCCACTGCAGATCTGGAAGATACGGGTCAAATAGAGCGGATCCTCTGATTTTAGTCGCCCCTAGTTAATCAATGCAACTAGTCATTTTCTCAGATTTTTCCCCCTCCTGGTCATTTCAGAAGCCATTATTCCCTCTTTTTTCCACTCACCTGTTAGAAATCAGATCTATTAATGTGCTTCCAGGATCACCACAGTACGCAGCGGGTTTTTCCCAAAGGCATCTGACCACAGAACCTTTTTCTCCCAGAACCTCTTGGCCAAGTGTCCTTGGAGCACATTCTGGGAAAGTGTTCATGGCTCTATCCTGCATCCCTCTGAAAGGTCCCTGCAGCTCTTCTCTGATGTCTCTTAGCAGAACATCTGTTCCACTGCCCCCTTTGCTTCATCCCATGCCTTTGTCTTTTCTGTTTTTTCCATTTCTTTCTAGGCTGTTGTCCTGACGGGAACCCTACTTCCCAGGTTACTCTCTCATGCCTGTCCACTTTCCAAATCACTAATACTGACGGGGTCCAGTCTAGGCCCTAACTTATGTAGACCACAGAGAACACAACATCCTTGTCCCCAAGGAATCTAAAAACTTGGGTATACAGGGAGAATTTTTTTTTGTATTCAGTAGAACTTTTTCCAGGTAGAAAAAGAGGTGTCAGCCAGTACCCTCATCCTCCTGGCCATTTCCCACATCCTCTTCAGCCTTAAGTACCAAAATGCCATTCTTCCCTCTGATTATTTGTGTTTATTATTAAATTTATTATTTTTACTACTAAATGGCCTTTGGGTCAGAGAATCACCACATCAAAACATAACTTGCTCCTCTCATTTTGTAATGCCAAAAACAGGGCAGCTGTCAAACCCAGGTGAGGACTTCCTGGGCACCAGAGGGGTAACTGTCTCCCACCCCCCCGACCGAGGGCCTTCAGAGAACTGCTTTTCCTCCCACAGAAAATGCAGTAGGAATTCAGAGTTCTAGCAGGAAGTGACAAGAATCCATATGCCAGAGAAACCCTTCCAAACAAGAAGCAACACTTTCTCCTCTTATCCTTTCCCATCCTTGGGGACAGTATTCCTCCATGCTCCTTTCCCAGCTAACCCAGCTCCGCGGTCCGTGCAGCCCCTGAGCACACTGTTGTCCAGGATAGAGTGCAAGGTGAGACACACTCAGACTCGAGCTGCACCTGGACACCTTGGAGACGTTACCTCAGCCATGATGCAACCACTCACTCAGCATCCAGGTGGAGCCCTGGCCCATCCACAGGGGAGTTCCTGGCACAACTGCTGGCCCTCTGGCTCACTGCTGGACCAAACAGGGTCTGCTCAGCAGTGGTGCTGCCTTGTTCGCCGGCCGCTGTTTCCTACACTTTTGTGGCTTCACTTCTCACCCACAGGGAGATTTTCCAAAATGGGTCTGAGAACCAAGGCGATGGAACCACATCCATAGTGCTTATAAAAGTGCAGATCCCTGGGCAGGGGTTTTAGCTCAGTGGCACTGCACCTGCCTCGCAAACTCCAGATCCTGAGTTTGATCCCCAGTACCATAAATAAATAAATAAATAGATAAATAAATGTGAAGATCCCTGTGCTTGGCCCTGGACCTGCCATGATTGAACCTAGGGCTTCACACTGAGCTACGTCTCCAGCCCTTTATTCATTTTTCATTCTGATACAGGGTCCCACTAAGTGTCTAAGTTGCCCAGGATGGGCTCAAACTTGCAATCCCCCTGCCTCCGTGTCCCAGAGTGCTGGGATTACAGCCACCATGCCTGGCAGGATTCTACTTTCAGCAAGCCCTCCCAGAAAGTCTTAGAGAACCACTCTTAAGCAAACACATGAAGTCTTCCCACTTCTTCCCTGGTGACAATGACACTGATTCTGCTACTCTGAGAAGCTCACTGTGTTCCCTTGGGTTTTGGGCTTCCAGGACTAACAAGCTGCTGCCAATGCAAGTGGATGGAGAGCCCTGGATGCAGCCACCCTGCACGGTGAGTTTTGCCAGTCTTGAGGGAGATGGTGAGAAGCTTGACTTTAGATCCCTTTGGGACACGGACTTGATATGAAATCAATGAATCGTAGAGAGGCAAGGAGTTGGAAGATCTAGTAGATCTCTCTACTTTATTGGCCCATCCACCTGTTCCTGCCAAACTCTTCTTGAATGCCTGCTATGTGCCAGGCACTGTGAGGCACCAGATACAAACCAGAATGACATGTAGACCCATCTTCAAGGTCTGGAACTTCATCTGTGGTACCTTGGCAGCCTTATCTTGAACCATTCCAGTGGCAGACAACTTAACCATGTCAAAAAGAAGACTGTGCTGCTAGTAGGCAAGTTCATTTGTTAGAAAGAGCTTCCTTGTGTGGAAGCCAAATTTACGTGCTTCACCTAGAACTCCCACCGAGATGCGGTGACCACTGGAGAAAATTCTGTGCAAGTCCATGCTCCCCGACAAGGCCACCCACCCATGGCCTTGAAGGCCGGCCTGAACACTCCACTGAAAGGATCAAGTTCATGGCACAGTCACCCAGCACCTAGAACAGTGCTTGGCTTGTAATAGTTGCACAATAGTGTGTTGCATGATGAGTAAAGGACTGAACAAATGAGAGGAAGAGGAGATCCCCTTCCCCTACTTGCCATACCCACACTGGCTCTCCACTTGCCACAACTGCACAAGGCGTGTTTCTTCTCTTCTTAGTTTGTTCTCTGTTGAAACCCCAGCTAGAAACTATGATGAAGAGAAGCCACTGACTTGATTTTCAGGGTTCATGTTGGTATATTAAGATATTTTATATGATATATATATATAACTTACATATTGTGAACAGTGTGATTACAAATATGCAAATCTCTCACAAGCACAAGAATCCGAGTTCAATCCTCGGTACCAAAAAACAAACAAACAAATATGCAAATCTCAAAAGAGACCAAAGTTGTGTTTCTAAGCTTCCTCCCTGTAGCAGAGTATTCAGACAACCCTGTAACCAGCTCTTTGGAGCCCTTACGACCATCAAGTTGTCTTCTACTAGAGAAAGAGCCTTCATGAGCCTGCTGAGATGAAATGGCATCTTCCAGAAAGATCAAAAATGGAAATTTCACTGGGTGTGGTGGCGCAGGCCTTTGTGATCTCAGACTTGGAAGGCTGAGGTAGGAAGATCACTATGAGTTCAAGGCCAACCTGGGTTACATAGTGAGTTCAAGGTCAGCCTAAACAACACAGCAAAGGGCCAGGGATTTAGCTCAGTGGTTCCAGCACCTGCCTCCCAGCGCAAGGTCCCGAGTTCGATTCCCAGTACCAAGAAAAAAAACAACATAGCAAGATCCTGTCGAGAGAGAGAAAGAGAGAGAGAATTTTCTATCATAAATAGAAATTTCTTTGAAAATATCATTCAATCTTAAGACTAAGAAAAAAAGGAAAGCATGTTATAGCAAAAAGTAATAAGCATTTTACTGGTGTTAGGAAGGATAAAGCGAATTTCTGCCACTCATCATCATGATAGAGCTAAGTTTAAGAAAAAAAAAAATCTAAGTTTCTCCTGCCTCCTAAAGAAAAGGCTGAAAGAAATCAAATCCTGCTCCACCTGGCCCAGCACTATCTGAAAACTGGGTTATCATTCTTCTAAATCCAAGCGCTGCTTTTTGGAAGTAGCCAGGTGCTTCCCTGTTTTGCCACACCACTCTCCCTCCATGCTCCCTCTCACAGAATACAACTCACTGTGCACACAGTTGTGGCCCAATGCTGGTAAAGGGTGCAGTCCAGAAACCCATATCCAACAGTGTCTTAAAATTGATACAGCTCAGGCTGCCATAACAGAGTGCCATAGACAAGCGGCTCAGCACTGGAGGCCTAAGATCAAGGCACAAGCAGAGTTCGTTTCTGGTGCGGCTACTCTTCCTAACTTGCAGCAGCACCCTTCTGACTGTGTCCTCACCGGGCCTGTCCTCTGTACCTGCGCCCTGTACCGCTTTCTCTTCTCACGAGGATACAAGTGCTAATGGATTGGGCCTCCACCCTGTGGTCTCATCTCCCTTTACTTACCTCCCAAAAGACCCTGTGTACAAACGTGGTTACAGTGGGGTCAGTGCTTCAAAAACTGAATTGGGGGCCGGGGATTTAGCTCAGTGGTGCCGCCGCCTGCCTCGCAAGCACAAGAACCCGAGTTCGATCCCCGGTACCAAAAAAAAAAAACTGAATTGGAGGGGGACACAACTTAGTCCATGGTAGAAAATTACAAAGTGGTTGTTCAACTTGCAAGGGTTAAAACAAATGTGCTCCTTATTGAAACATTTTCTTGAAGGAAACACACCAACAGTGAAGTGATTCAAAATTAAAAGCATTGACTGGGATTGTCACAGTACAGAAGAACTTTGGTAGGAATTGAAACTAATTTAAATGAGAACTTAGAAACCTGTTAAATATGGTCATACAACTGAATGCAAATGGCAAAACTGTCTCTTCGAAAGAGAGAATATATAATGTAAACATTAATAACACGGATCCCAAACTGAAGGTTATATGAACAGAGGCTGAAAGCCTATGGGAGACATTATTGAAGGAATAGTAAAAACATGCTAAATTTTTATTGTCTCTTTTCACTTTGATAATTAAAAATATAATTCAGAAGAGAATGTTAGTAGCTAGATATTCACTTGTGAAACTAATAACAGGGCATATACCTTTTAAACCCGGGAGAACAAGATATATAAACCATACCAATATAGAAAAGACAGAAAACAAATAACAAGCCAACATTTAAATTTTTTTGAAAATAAAAAAAGTTGAGACTAAATGTATCAATACTGACAAGAAAAAAGGGTTAAAGCCCTCTATTAAAAGACCAATATTAGCTTAAAAACTAAAATCCAAATGTATATTCCTTACAAAAGATACACCTAAACTTAGATGAAATAACTGTAACCTATAAATGATTGAAATATCATATTTTCCAAGGATTTATAGAGTATTTGCTAAAATAGATCATAAACTAATTTACCAAAGAAATAAAATCTCTATACAATCCAAAAGCAGAAATTATAAAGGTCATTTTCTTTGACCAAAAAGCTAACTGGAAATTACTAATAAAAGATTAAATGAGTAAGCAAACAAAATCTAGACACTTGGAAACTAAAATTCTCCTAAAGAACAATAGATACAAAGGAATTTCATTATTGACAACTAAAAAGCTATAAAAATAAGAAAGCTCCAGTTCAAATCTAATAAAATAAAGCCTAAGCTATATTTGGAAATAAATTTAAAGCCTCCTATAAAACTAAAAAAAACTCATGAATAATCCCAAAATTAGAAGAACAATAATAAAATAAACATAGGAGAACAAAGAAAATAATAATGATAAAAATAGTAATTATATAATTTTTAAAAACAGGAAAACTTAGTTCTTTAAACATGTCAAATTTTTCAAAATCTAACCTTAAAAGAGAAAAGGGAAAGATTAGAGATATTAAAATGTAAAAAGAACATACAAGAAATATAATATAAAATCTAAATTTGAACATCATAAGAAAATGAAGGGAAACCTTGATAACTCTTAATAAAGTGGACAATGCTTTCAAAAATGCATGCAAAATGACTTCAAAACAAATTATCTTAGTGCTGGACCCTTTCATACTCTTAGGAAATAAACATTGAGGTTAACTATTCCCTAGTATAGACAAAGACAGAAAGCTATCCAATCAATTTTATGAAATGGAAACACTTTAAAATAGAAAACTCCAGACCAATCTCAAATATGAATATGATATAAAGTTCTAGTGAATGTGTAGGTAAATAGAACTGAAGATACGTTACAAGAATCATTTGCCTGTCAGAGCATATCCAAGGAACAAAAATAAATCTTCTTTTTTTTTCTTTTTTAAAATAAATCTTCTAATATTAATTTAGATGGGAAAAATTACATGATAATATAAGTGCATGACTCAGAAATGTTCAATAATATTAAAATTTCTGATGTTTAAAGATTAAAAGCGCCTAGAAAACTAACACTAGAAAGAACTCTAGCTCAGTGGTTCCACCGCCTGCCTCGCAAGCGCAAGGACCTGAATTCGATCCCTGATACCAAAAACAACAACAAAAAAAATCAATTGAAAACTTCATAGGATAAAATATTTCATTGAAGTCCTATAGAAAAATAGACAAAAATTAATAGCTTTCTTATGTACCAGCAGCAACCAATCTAAAGAATACAATAAAATACCTCTAAATATCACAATAGCAGAAAAAAAATAGCAATAAAAGATATAAAATGTTAAGCTGAATTGTACAAAATGGATGAAAATACCCAGAAGACTTAATAACTCGGGCCCTTGCGCTTGCGCAGCAGGCGGTGAAACCACAGAGCTAAATCCCCGGCCTGACTTAATATTTTTTTAAAAGGTTTAAACATAGAAACATCTCATGTTCTAAATCCCACTGCAATCTTTTTACTTGACAAAGCAATGTAATTCCTAGAGAATTTTATAAAAGAACTTTAAGAGTTCTCATAAGATATTAAAATAATTATAAATCCAAAGTAATTTGAGTGATGTGCTATTGTCATGATATTGGATAGGTAAATCAATAGTACAAAAGAAAACTCTAAGAAACCCTAGTATACATAAAAACTAATGAAGGAAAAAGAAAAATCGTAAAACTACCCAGAATATTGCCTGTTTGGGAAAATATCATTATATGGCAACTTTTCACCTCAATCTATATTCTAAAATTTTTTATAACAACACACAAAGAGACTCAAATTAAATAATATAACATTATTAGCTCTGCAGGAAAATAGATTATTATAATTACACCATGGGCAGGGCCTTTTGATGAAAAAAGTGACATAGTTAATATTAACCAATTTTAAATTCTACAAGTCAAGAATCAATATAAATATTTAAAAGGCTAAAGATAAGATGTGTATAAAATCTGTATTAAAGAGCAGGTTATTTCCTATACGGTATTAAAAAAAAAAACAGCTGTAAGAATCCAGCAGG